CACAAAATATAAAAATCACAAGGTGGTATCTTTACGGAATTATTAGTTACGGTAAGATTAGTGACTGTAGACTGCAAAAAGCTCTTAACTGAAGCACTAACTGAAGCAGCATTCTAGAGCTTTGGCAAGTTTCAGAAGCTTTTTGTGGTGAATATAATTTTTGTAAAACTTTCAAACTCTACTACTTCAGTAACAAAAAATTATTAAAATTTATTTATTTCTAAACAATTACAAAGTTTTTTTAAAAAAAACTACTGTCATGATTATTTTTTCAGTCTGTATTGCTCTGCTTGCTCAGTGAACCCTTCTAACTCATATGTATCGCGCTTAGAACTGTTTTTTGACCGCTAGTATTGTTTTGCTAGTTTTGTTCTCAAAGCTTTCTATTAGAAATTTTTTATGCATTTGACTGGCGAATCTACGCGAAAACGTGATGCTGAGAGTGTATCTTTCTGTTAATATTTTTATAAAAGTAGTGAAATCATTGCGAGTATTGTTGTTCGTTTGTTGTTGCAGCAGTTTATTGACTTGAAACTTGAAGGCATATTGAGAAGATCAGCAACGATAGTCGTCATAAAAGAGAAACTTTCAGTTCAAATTTCAGCTCAGAATAACCTTTACAAATAGGCTGCAAACTAAAGAGAAGAAATACAGGTGATTTCATTACCTTTATAAAAATATTAAAGAAGAGGCGCACTTCCAGCATTGCGTTTTCAAGTACGTTCATTAGTGAAACATATAAAAAATTTCATTGCATTATACTACAAAACGTTGACAGCAAAAATAGCGAAACAATGCTCGCGGTCAAAGAACAATACCGAGTGTGAAATATTTGGGTTAGAAGAGTTTAATAAGTAAGCAGAGCCATATAAACCAAAAAAATAGTCATAACAGTAAGTTTTTCTAAAAAAAAAATTTGTTAAATTGTTTAAAAATAAACAAATTTCAACTTATTGCCAGTTACTGGAGTAGTAGACTTGAAAAGTTTTACAAAAATTATATATACTACAAAAACAAATAAAATTCTTGTGGAAACAGAGGTCCTGAGGCTTGAGAGAGAGCTAAAATGCTGCTTCAATTGAGGGTTTCTTCCAGTCTACTACCACTAATCTTGCCGTAACTCTTGTAAAGATACCATCTTGTAATTTTCATATTTTGTGTAAAAATTATTTCTTCAAAAAATTTATTTTACTTCAAAAATTTAATTTGTCGCTTTTTGAAAAAAAACGTTTTGAATTTTTGTTTTTATTTTAATAAAAAATAAGATTTGCTAATTTAAGTCTTACACCACTTTTCTAGGTCTGCAGAAGACAGGCTTCCAAATAAAGTAAAAATGAGAAAAATCTGTTGTAAACTGCGAGACATATAAGTTGTTAAATGTGACCACGTTGAGGGTAAATTACGTTTTTTTTGCATTTTAGAACGGTCTAACTTTGCCGCCAGCACACTTTTTGAAGTAAACTCTTTCTGTTTTGAAATTCGGTATTAAGTGCTACAGTTTGGCGAAAAATGAAAAAAATCTGAGAGGTCGAGGTTTAAACTTGTGCGATTTGGCGTGGAATGGCCCTTATATTGGAACTACAAAAAATTTTCAATCCAAGTTTTTTTTGTCATCTTTTAAGATATAAATTTGAAAGCTGTCAAGAAATGAAGCCTAATTTTTGACATAAAACTTGTTACTTACAGTAAAGCAGTTAAAAAAATTTACAAAGAGAATTTAAATTTATTGCTTAGCTTATTCTTTGATGCTGTACTGATGCGCAGAATATTTTCAATGGGCGAATCACAGCAATAAAACTAATAAAGTTTTGTTGCTGATAAGAATCATATAATGAGACAAAAACGGAATATTCGTTTAATTTATTTTTATTTTTTGGCTTAAACAATTTTTACAATCTTCTGGCAGTGATTTAGATTGTAAAAATAGCTAAAAACTTAATGAGCACTACAGTATACTATAAATAACTTATTTTGTTGTAACAGTATGCTCTTCCAAACCGGGTTCATCAACTTTTCTTGATGTGTTTAGTATGGACTTGAAAGGAAGTTCATCAGAGACGAGTTGACGGTTAAGTGGACAAGATATGGACGTTTTGCGCTTGGCGAATACGCTAGCAGTTTCTTTTCTGTTTTCTATTATGGAGATCTTCAGAATCGAGATGAATTTTTGTCTATGATGGACTCTCTGTACTATATGAATAAAACTGCCAACATTACAAAGTTGGTTTATTTGTCGTACCACTCATTTGCAATATAAATTTACATTTATTTTTCCGTAACGTTTGTCAAATTTTAGCGCACTGAGGTCTGCGGCAAAACAGTATGAACCGGATCAGGCATACGGTTATCAGCGAACAGTACTCTTCACTGCCAGCAGGTTAAAATTAAACTTTATTAAACTTTTGTTCTTTCATCTTGCAAGAGAAAAAATTGTAAAAACTAATTTTTATTTTTACACACAACAAAAACATAATATTATATTACTTATTTATGCACTGAAACGCTTCTGTTTACCTGTATTGTACCTTTGAAAAACATTTATAACAAGCTTTTTTTTGAAAGAAAACTAAGTTTTTACAGTATTATCTATTCTTGTGACATAATAAAATAGTCTATTTACAACAGCTTTATACCTCCTAATAAAACCTGAAATGTTAAATCTTTTAACTTATCTGACTGTTATATCGGTGTTTTTAGTAACACGGCTGACATTGACTCTGCTATACCTTATGCCAAACAACTCGACTCTAAGGGTGAACTGATTGTGGTCGTTATGGGTACCGCCAGCTTCGACAAATTCAAGAAGCTTACTCCAGAAGATCGAATCATTGTATGGAGAGATTATTCTGACACTAAAGACTTAGCTGCAAATATAACAACACTTTTAGGCGGGTAAGTTTCACCTCTTCTTCAAAAATTTATTTATTGTTTTTGACTAACTAAAGCTTATGTTTCTGTGCTTACATAATATTTGTGCTGTAAAAGAATTATAAGACTGACATTATTTGTAGCTGTTTTTGAAAAAGGAAAAGTTGTTTCTGATTGACTAAAACAGACACTTGTCTGCTAGTTTTAAAAAACTTTTTTGCAATTTAGATATATTAATCCAACAACAACAACGACAACGACAACGACAACGACAACGACAACGACAACGACAACTACAACAAAAAGTATTTTTGCTTTTTTTTAGACACTTTGAATTCGTTAAACAAACTTTGTTAACATCAATTTTTATGTTTTTTGTAGTAAGATGAAACCAATTTCTGTTTTTTTTTCAAACATCTTTTTTATCAGTTTGAAAATTTAAATTGTTTGTAAGAATTACCAGAAGAATTATTTTTTAAGTTTTATTTAAATGACAAACTTTGGGAAATTTTTTTGCAAGTTTTTTCTCAATTTCTGCTATGTCTCAAACTAAATTTACTTTTTTAAAAAGCAATAAAGAGATGCACACAAAACAGTTTATTTTTGATAAGAAATTTTTATTTAACTGCTGCTTTATGCATGCGATGTACAGTAATGTACGTGGTCAACAATTTTACCGGTTGTTCTTATGAAGCAGAGATGCTCTTTAAAAAGCTAAAAAGATTAGAAAGGCTGGTTTTCAAGAGATAAAACTAGTGAAAATAGAAATAATCAAAAAAAGACAATAAGTTCTGCATCAATTAGCGCTATAGCAAACAAGGCCGAAAAATTACAGATGTTCACTCAGCTAAAAAAAAAAATTAAAAATTAAATTTTGAAAACAAAAGTGAGAAAAACTGTTCAAAAATTGTCTTTTTCTTGTTTTCAAGAAATCATCATTGTTGCTATTGCAGCTCCTTATCCAGTAACACCACTCCCCTGTGGTCCTCGAGACATCATGCTGGTAATGGACGTATCCAATAAAAGTAGTCCAGAGGAATTTGATCAGGTTTATTATGACTGTACTTGTTCTAAACTAGCAATTTTATTTCAAGAGTTTTACAATAAAATAATATTTAGAAAACTTTTAAGTGTATCGTCTTTGTATTTTCTCACCAAAATTCTTGTTTTAGCACGTACGTAATAAAGAATGCAACAAGCGCTTTTTGTTCCTAAATAAAATAACAAAACTGATTTTGCAGAAAACTAAAAATACGCTTTAAACACTGCATGATTTTTTATAAGATGTAGATTTTTAGATGAAAAATTTTGTGATGACACAGCTTGTGACTGTTTGGCCAATATCCACAGCTCAAGTTGAGGTCTCCTTAAGTGTTTATGCTAATACTTTTACTCTGATTACAAACTTTGACTCCACTAGCGTCATCGAGTTGGTTTCCGTAATTAACTCATCAGTAAATCGGATAGAAAAGCAAATGCCAAACATTGAAAGGTACGTTTTCATAAATTTTTTGAAGTTAAAATTGACTTACAGTTTGCAACCTGTTTGAAATTGGCATTTTCATGTATGGTACACGACATTTTGTAAAGTGCAGTAAATAAATAAATTTTAGAAAGCGAAACAAAAAAACAAAACAAAAAAAACAAAAATTCTGTAACAGAAAATTTAGTTATCACATTGACTTCAATTGTTTGAAACTTCTTTTAAATTTCAGAGCTTTGAGAGCTCTTACTGACATTATTGAAGACCGACCTCGGAAAATTCCAACAGTTACGGTGTTTCTTTCAACGACTAGGTGATTGAAGTCTTAATAAAAAGTTTATTTACATCTAATTTGCTTACCTAGCAGAGAATAGTCAAAAATAAGTATTGGTTTTTGTTCAGCAATCCAGATGCTGTTAATGCTGCTCAACGATGGGCATATCTTTTGAAGATCAATGGAAACTCATTAATAACGATTGCTGTTGGAGATTCAGCTGATTCATCTGTGTTGGGGACAGTCAGTTTTTGAATGCTACAGCTAACAACAATCGGCCAATGTTAAAATTATAAAATAGTTTACTCAAAAAAGCAGATCTAACACAGTGAATTAAATTTTAACTATTCTGGAACGTATAAAATTACAAATTTTCTGAGCTATAAAGTTTCTTCGAGGTTTTTTTGTAGCTTGCTTCATCACCAGAATTCTCGAAAAAAATCCCCTACAGTGGCTCTGCAGATGTGGCTAATGAAGTGAAAAGTCTGCTGTGTTCTGTTGCACCAACTCCACCATCGACAACAACACCAACGTGAGCAATGAAAAAAAAATATTGAAGAGAATTATTTGGTAAAAAACCTCAGCAAATACCATTTAGACAACCAATAACAACTACAACAACGCACATGGATCTTCCTTGTAGTCGCGCTGTTATTATCATGATAGATACTTCAAACGCAGTTCCAAACCAAGCCACATTTGCACAGGTATATGATTGTAATTTGTGTAAGTTTTCTACTTTGAAAAAATACAGATTTTGAGACAATTTTTCTTTCTGCTTATTTTAACTTTTAGCATATTAAAGTGGTGACAAAACATGGTCTAGTATATGTTAAAAAATTTCAGCAGATAGACTTTATACGTTATAATCTTCTTCCACTTTGGAATGTTGGTTCAGCAACTACACAAGTAGGGATTGTGCTATATGACGAACATCAGTTTAAACATTTTGGAGATTTTGAGTACGCTAACGATGACGAATTGGAAGCCGATCTGTTTAGAGCCTATCGTTTCTTCACTGAAAGTGACCCTAGTATTACCAGGCTTGTATTAAGTATTCTTTTTTTAACGCTTACGAGACATCAATTATATTTTTTATTCCTAGCAAGGTAACAGTTAAAGGTTCAAGAAATAACGGCAAATAAGAATAAAGCGTTTATTAACAAAGTTTTTGCAGTGGACTCAAAGGTGTACTAGATATTCTGATTCCAATTGATACGCAGGAAAAGCAAAAAGTCGTGCTTCTCTTCGCCTACTCAAGGTTCGTAAACTTTAAGAAAAAAAAGAATGAATTAGGTACAAAATTCTTCTAGGAAATTAAACGTTTAATTTCTAGCTCTTACGACGACATCAATACTGCAGTTCCAATTGCTCGTCAAATTCAAACCAGTAACATAAGCCTTCACATTCTTGGAATTTCCAGTAAAACGAATCGGGACTACCTACAAGCGCTATCAGGATCAGTCACACGCTACGATTCATTAAAACCTGAATATGCTAATACTGTACTTTTTGCAAAAGACCTTAACAAATATATTTATCCTAATGGCATTTAAATTTAGTTGTCGGTGTTAAATGATTGTTGCGTTCTTGCGCTGCAATTCCCAACTTTCCAGGTAAATGGTCTTCTATGTAAGGATTCTGAAGCTCCTAGACCTTGGACAACGACTTCATCAACGACTAAACCTACAACGATCACAACTCCTACGCTTCCGACAATACCAGTTACAACAACCAGTGAAGAACCTTAAATTTTTGGCTTTTGCTAGGCAAAATTCATTTTATGACGCAAGCATAAACTTTGAAACGCTTTTAAAACTAAATCCGGTCATGCAACAAAAATACTTTTTGCAGCTGTTCCAAAGCAAAACTGCTCGGATTGTATACCTCGTCTTTCAAACATTCTTCTTTTGTTAGACGGTTCTAATAAACTAACAGTTGACCAGGTACCGTTAATATTAGTCTTTTGTCTTTCAATACAACAATGTCTATTTGTAATTAGGTTTTTTAACGAATTAGCTTTTAATAATATTTTGTAGTTTACTAGTACATTTGGCAGTGAAATTCGCAGTAAGACTGCGCTTTTTTTTGTCACTCACATACATTACTTTTTGAATGAGAGTACTTTATAAAGCTGATTTCCAGCTCTAAGATACTTTTAAAAAGTCATGTTTTCTAGAAACATCTGTTTATTGTGCTACTTTCCTTTTCTTTACAGAAAAGTTATGATCTATTTTATTGCTAAATTACAGTTCAATTCTGAAAAAACTCTGGTCACTGATGACTTGGTACGAGGGCAGTCATGGAACCATTTTGAGAGACTCGCCTTGGGAGAGTACGGTACACGAGAACGCCTTTACTACATTGTCGGTTACGACACGATGACAACTGTAGATGACTTTGTTCAAATAATGAATTATAATCTTTACTTCTTCAATTCTACTCCATCAATTTCGCGGTAATATTTGAACTGATAAATTATAGAGTATAAATGACCACTTGCTTATGCATAAATTTGTACTGCTCATTATGTGACAAAAATTTAGTACTATGAAGCAAGCGCTGCATATGTTCGAACCGAACTCGCGTTATGGAAAACAGCAAACTGTTATCTTTGTGTCGACATCGTCAGTATAAAACAAATGATTGATTATGTTGATTGCCAAATAAACAGATTTTCTTCTAATTTTTTTGATAAGAACGAGCAATGTTAAATTTTTTGGAATCTAAAACTTTATCTTCTCAAGACTCGCTTGATTTAATTTGCAGAAATAAAACCGATCTTGACGAGGCTGTGCCCTACGCACAGTCCTTGCGAAATTTGGGCAAGCTTGTAATTGTTGCATCTTGTATGTCAAATGGTGATGCATTCCGGTATTTGACAGAAGCTGAGAATATCATAACGTGGAGCGACTGCACAAATCGAGACAAGATTGCTGAAAATATAATGAGTGCCTTAGACCAGTAAGTCAACCATAGTTTTGCTGCTTTTTTTTCTCGCAACTGCAGTAAAAATCAGATTTTAATTCTGTAAACTTTAAATTTTTATAAATCTGTAAAACTATACTGGCCCATTAAAGCGGTCATTCGTGAGCTTTTTTTTTTGTCTGATTTTTTGGATAATTTGATACGATATTTAAATCGTATTTTTTTGACGTTATTAGCACACAGTTTTTAAAAGTAATTTGAACTTGGAATGTAAAAAAACCTGTTGATTGAAATTTTGTCATGAAAGTCAAATTTTTTTGTAATGCTAATTGTATTATTTAGAACAACAAATTCCACTGTCCCCCCAGCGCCAACCACAACAACTACCACCACTGTCACTACTACAACCACATCACCGAGTGTTACCACTAGTGTTTCGTCGGCAACCACCACGTCATTCAGACGAAGTAAATTTAGTTTCAATATTTAATAGACCGGTCACATATAATTGGACTGCATAATTCCCGTTACTGATGTATTAAGTAGAAAAAATTTCGTGCACTTGAGGAGTCATAACAGCTTTTAAGAGTGAAACTACATGTTTTTTGTGTCACTGTTTCTTTTTTAAAAATATTTTGTGATTTTCCAGAGTATTTTTTGTTGTTAAAAGAATTTTTTGTTGAAAAGTATTAATTAGTGAAATTAAGCATAAGAAAGCGGGATTTGAGATTTGGCTTATCAAATATAAATTAAGAATTACTGTGAGAAAAGTTTGATTTAGTACCAACAAAGCATGTATTTATTAGACAGTTTATAAATTCACCAAAGGTAAATTTAATTTTAAAATTCCTTGTTGAATTTGGGACTCATACAGATGTCTTTTAGTCGATCTTCCAAAATTGAGTATTGTGCTATTTATGAAAACTGGTGTAGTACAAGGATCGGAAAAGATGGCTTAGAA